GTGCTACCATGAGTCAGTAGCTGCGACTGTATGACTTACTCTTATACCTCTTATTATTATTACAAGAATCACACATTGCGGTAGTACAAGGATTACACCTTGCGGTAGTACAAGGATTACATCTTGCGGTAGTACAAGGATCACACCTTGCGGTAGTACAACAGCTATAATTAGAATTTAAACCAGGTTTTATCTTGACATAAAACCAATAACAACAACATATAACATACCTGATTTTATCTTGACATAAAACCAACAATAACAACATACTTATCAATTAACATATAGAACTTCCGAGTATAACTCTGGAACTATATCGCCTACAACACATATATATAGAATCCTAAGTATAACTCAAGATCTACATTAGTATACTACTATAACAATAACATGCTAACAACTTTACGATAGTTGTATACTTTCAGATACGAAATAACTATATCCCGGTTATTATAACTATCTACGTTGATACTAATATATTATCATATAGATATAATTAATAACGTATATATAATATTTAGCATGCGTTTTCCCCCGAAATATTAGAAAGTGGGGCCGTGAAACTCACCTTAATAGCGTGATTTTATGTAATCTAAGCAGAAATGGTCAGCGTACGAGGTCGTCGGGGCTCGGGATGCAAGATGGCTTCAGTACAGGAGAGAGGAGAAAGGGAAATGGTGTAAGGAATAGCTGAAGTCGGACCTGCTATTTATAGGAAGGATTTTGGACCCTCACGACGTGAGAAACTCATTGTTCACGTCGTGAGTTCCAAACTTATCTCTTCGTAGACTTGCCATCCGTCTTCTAGCTTCCGAAGGTGGCAAAATGACTCCTCACGACGTGAAAAATGCCTTGTTCACGTCGTGAGTTTGGATCTTATCCCCTCGCAGCCTCGTCACACCTTCTAGATCCGAAATATGGCGGTTTGACTCCTCACGTCGTGAGTTTTTATGCTCACGTCGTGAGTTCAGTCAAATTAGGGTTTCTGACAGCGACATCTTCGGAAGGCCATAACTTTTGCATACGAACTCTGTTTTTGACGTTCTTTATATGCACGCGTAGGTAATTCCGAGTACTACAACTCTCTTTTGGAATTAAATAGCTAATTCCAAGTCTATTTTAAATTCCTCTTTTTATAGAGATTTATAGTGTTCGGTTTATCATAACTTCTTCACGCGAAGTCAGATTCAGACGTTCTCTATATTTTTGGAATCATATGGATGTATACTTTGATTTATAATATAAAGTATGTATGAAAATTCATATTTATATTAGAATTATCATGAAATACATAGTAAGTTTACTACATTACTAGTTTTAACAAAATCACATTACCTGATTGATATAATCACATGTGATTGTTATTGACCTACTTTTGACGGGTGTTACAGGCAGGTGACAAACAAACTTACCGCAGCACTTCAGGTTATATTGTCTATCTTGGATCTAACCCAATCTCTTGGAGCTCTAAACGCCAGCCAACCTTAGCTCGCTCGTCCACTGAAGCTGAATTTAGGGCTGTTGCCTCTACAACTACTGAAATACAATGGTTGATATCCTTATTATCTGAACTTGGTTATCAGTCAATTACTACCCCAACCATTTTTTGTGACAATCTCAGTGCTACACATTATTCAGCCAACCCTGTTTTTCATTCTCGCATGAAACATCTAGCACTTGATTTTCATTTTGTAAGGGAAAAAGTACAAGCCGGATCCATTTGTGTCACTCACATCAATGGTGATGATCAGCTAGCCGATGCTCTCACTAAACCTCTACTATGTCACCGATTTAACACTCTTATTTCCAAGATTGGTCTCCTCTCACGATCGTCCATCTTGCGGGAGCATATCAAAAGATAAACCGGATCCAGATCCATCTTCTATTTATGTATTTTATTCACATGTTTATTATGTTTAATCTTCTAGATAATTATAGATTTAGTCTTCCTTACTTGTTGTAACTGATCCATGTTAATCGGATCTCCTTGTGTATATGTACCGATCTAATTCACTGTGAAATACAAGTTTTCTCTATTCAATTATAATACGTATTCATGTTGGCTCAGTTCGTTGTTGCGTTTAAGCGGCCGATTCGTTCCCTCATTCTCAATTTTTTTTTTCTCAATTGAAGGCAAAAAAAAAGTTTTTATTTTCTTCTTCCTCTAAACAAAACAAAAAAACAAAAACTTTTTGGGGGTCGGTCATAGACATACAAACAAAACCTTTCCTTTTTTCAAACATACAAAAATCATATTTTTCTATATATATTTATATATTTGATGTATGTATATAGATAATTAACCGTGTGGATCCAACTTTTGATCCAAGATGGAACCGATCGACTAAAGAAAAAGAAGGCAAAAAGCACCGTGTATTACTCTTTCTGTTCGGAGAGAAACGTTGATTTCTTTATACATACTTCCTGAGTTTATGTAAGTTGTGATTCAACATTTCAAACTTCTTTTTATTGAAAATTGACAATCAGTATGGCACATCATGCCTTGTTCTTAGCCGAAACCTTTATTTATTTATATATTTTTCTTATAAAGACTTAGGTAGTGTTTGTTTTTTGTCTGCAGATCTGCGTGGCCTCTTCTGTCTGCGCCGCGCAGACCACGCGCAGACATTAGCCTTCACAGACCGTTTGTTTTTTTGAAGACTGCAGACCTAAAAATGTCTGCGCGCCCTCTTCTTGGCGCAGATGTGGACCAGAGTCTTCTAACATCTTCTAACATCTTCAGACATCTTCTAGCCTAAAAAAACATATATATCTTAATTTTTTTATGTTTTTTTTTAATTTATATTTTTTTCAACTTTATTAATGATAAACAATTTGAAAAAAAAATTACAAAATTTAAAAAAAAACGTTCGACGATACAAACATGATATTTTTGACAAATTTATAAATAAAGATTTATTACAATAATAGTCGTTGAAGGTTTTTATAAAATTGAAAAAAAAATCATAATATTCTTATATTTTTTGCCAAATTTTGTAAAACATTATTTAATACAGTATCGTCAATTCTCGAGAAAATATTTATGGTACGTTTTTAGTGGATTTAATTGAAAAAATCGAAGTTTATTTCCATCCATTTATGTATCAAATTTTTTGATCACTAATTATAATGTTTAGTTATAACTTTGCAACCAAAGTTGTTGGTTTTTATCAAATATATACGCTAATTTATACAATTTTTATTTTTATTTTTTATACAATAATACATAAAAGTTGATCTAGATTCGTTAATTATTTATAACAAATTCATAAAAATATTAAAAAATCACTTTGAAATTTAAAAAAATAAGTTTATTTAGATTTCAGTTTATTTTAATAGCTCGCAGATGTTAAAAAAACAAACAGTGTTCTTTTTTTCAGACTGCAGACGTTTGGTCCACCTCTTCTACTGCAGAGGTCTACAGATTTGGTCCGAAGACTACAGACATTTTGCCTCAGAAAAAACAAATAGCACTTTAATATCTACCTGGAGGGGGTTTCCACTAGTGAACACCGCACCAAGTTATAGTAGGTGTGGAGTGGGGGTGGTCACGGATCTTCACGGAGACATTTGTCTCTATCTCTCTCATCTTTTTTTATTTTTCTCTCTTTTTTACCAATGAAGACCATTTCCACAATATTGTAAAATGGTTATGGAATGATTTGATGAAGAAGTGGTTTGGAATTCATATGAATAAACCCTATAGCCTAACTATCTTCATTTGTTAAGTTATAGATCTTTATCGTTCATATAGACATCAACCACATCAAAAGGATATATATTAACAAGAAGTACGATGATCCTCCTTGAAAAAAAAATGTGAGAAAAGTACAAAAAATAAAAAGCTAAAAAGTTATGATGGACTTGGCAAATAATTAGACATTTGCATATTCCGTTCTAGATTTAACTTCAATCCCTTTGATTTGCTTGTATCCAGATTTAACCTCAATCCCTTTGCTTTGCTTGTATATAGTTTCTTCACATTTGAGTTCTGTTCACGTAGCAACTTCACTAAGCTTCTCTTTGCATTTGATCTAAATGGACAATTTGATGCTAAAAAACCATCCACCAAATGTAAATATGCTTCCAAGTCATGGCAACATGACACATCGGCATCCGGTTTCAAATATGGTGAGTTACTTGTATCAACCCGTAGTTCAGCCCCCACATGCGCATATGCCCACGGCATCGTGTTATCAATAATATTCAAAGCTACATTCATGTTTTTCGACTCACGAAGTTTTTTATCAAGTTCTTCATTTACAAACATTCCTGGAACGCGAGTGATGATATCTTTTGAGTTGACGATTCGCAGTACTTTCACCTGTTGGGAACTAAGCTTTTTCGTGAATGTTCGGTTCCCAACACGTGGGCCACCGAAGGTGTATACTGCTATTGGTGGAATGACCTGGGCACAAGTGCTCAGGTCATTTGCCACCAGTAGCGCTAGGGCCGCACCAAGGCTGTGGCCGGTGACAGTGATACTTAGGTTTTCGCCTTCGTACAACTGAGTTAACCGTTTGATTTCGGAAACCACCGACTCTCTTAGGCTTGAGACATGAGCTCCGGAGGTCTTGTAGAGGGTTAAAAAGCCACATTGCACTTTGGGTTGTCCACAGGATTGGTCTGGAATTTTTACGAGTAGGTCCCGCATGTTTTTCAGCCCATTCGAGACATGTGGAGGTCCCACGAAGAGATATCACTATGTCACGTCTGCCCATTCTAGAGATTTCTCGTTGATCGTCACACACTGCTACGTAACCAATGCAGCTGGTTCGTTGAGTCATCCACTCGAGATCTGGTGCCACTTTATCGACCCAGTCCGGAAAACCTACGGAAGCTGTGGCGTACAGGGTCTTGGTGACTCGGTAGGATCTATCTGGGATGGCCACTTGCCGAGGTGATGGGGCTTCCTTGCCTGAGGTGGCAGGATCCGAATGAAAACAATGATATGCGGCTTGAATGAACTCTCCATACCGGACCATCTCTCGCCGGAGATTCTAGTCCAGCGGATCAAGTAAACCAACCCAATTATTGCTCCCGTGATACTCTCTCCACCTGGAAGCCAGGCTGTTTCGGGGAGAATATTCCATCCCGTTCTTCGACAACAACCGTTGGAGCCGGTTCAGCTGCCGGGGAGACATTTCCTCCGCTGCTTTATTTTCCGGCCAAATTTGAGGTAAATTTAGTCCCTCTAAAAGACCCCCCTTTCCTCTACTCTCCGCCTCCGGCAACCCATTATCAGCACTCACTTTGGGTTCCAATTGGATCACCTCAGGTTCTGTACCTATTAGTCTTTCAAGATTTGAAAGGTGTTTCCTTGTGAACTTGGTTCTTGATAAGCTTGTGGTTTTCATGGAGGTCTTCGATAAACAAGCTTTTGTTGCGAGTTTCACAGAATACCCATTACAATTAACGGCGAATCTTTCCTGAAATACGTCAAGATTATGCGCCGGAACTGTTGAGCCGATTTGCATCATGATTCTAAAATGATTAAAGATGGACCTTCTCACCTTCACAAAGAGAAAGAGAGAAAAAAAAAACAAATACACACTGTTGAGAGAGTGTGTGTGTGTAACTGTGTGTGGGGTGAACGGATTATGAGGTAATATATAGAGGAACAGAGGGTACAAAGTGTAAATAAATAGATCGAATTTTGGTTTAGTTTTACTCCTCCAAGTATGTGGGTTAGTCAATGTTACTTATTACATAACTTTTCAACATTTAGCGTCCCTCAAGATTTAATATTATTAAAACTAGCCTGGACTTATTGAAAAAATTTCCAATCACTGTAATTAGACTAGTCAAACTAGTCCTTGCATACAAATTACAAAACGGCAACCAAAAACTTGTATCACGATAATTTGAAATATTTTTCTTACATTGACTCAAAGTATTTATTTTAAATAATCATTTAAGGCGTTGACCTACTCATATACATGTATAATGAAATATATTTTTAAATTTATATGTAAAACTTGTTTAGATAAGAACCACTCTTGTCCATGCCACTTGCAAGGTAAATTATAGCATTGCATATGTTTCACTAAACTCGATTATTAATTCGTACTATTAATATTATTTACCTAAAAAAGTGAAAAAGCATGGAGGATTGATCCTCCTTTTTATCTAGTGATGGAGCCATGATTTTGTCTTAAGATAAACCAAATAAGTTACAAAATATGAACAAATATCAAATACTTCAAATGGTAACAAAATGTAACAATGTATGATTTTAAAGTAAATTGTTCGTTTAAATTGGAAATAATTGTTGTAATAAAAAAAATTATTATACAAACCTGACGAACGAGGAATTTACTATGAAGATTGAAATGCAACTTGATCTATTCAAAAAATTGTTGCCTCAATTTTTTAATCGACGTGTCTCGACAGGTAAATTATTTCTTTTATTGTGAATTTAAAATTTGAATAGAATGGGTTATGTTACAATTCGCAACCTTAATGTTTTTTATTTAAAAAAAATATAAATTATTTATAAAATATATATTTCACTTCAAATTTATTACTTGTTTCCAGAAAAAAGATAAGCCGAAAGAGACATAGTCTTAATAAATAAGTGGGTCTTAGTCGTATCAATAAAAGTAAGGGGGGGCAAACTTGATTGATTTGAGTAAATATCAAAGGGCAAGGGGGCAAACTTGATTGATTTGAGTAAATATCAAAGGGCAAACCTGAAAATAAAACGTACTTCTAATGGTAAAGAGAATCAAAAGTAGGGTCGAAATGGAATTGAAAATGCATACGCGGTGTTTTACACGCATGCATTTCGTCTCAGTAGTATAAACATGATTCGTCTTTCACATTTTGATTTAGAGAAATTTATAAATTTAGAAAAAAAAATATCAAATTTAGCCCACGATTTTGATTCGTCTCTCACATTTTGATTTGTTTAGCAAAAAATGTTAATTATTTTTTAAAAATAACAAAAAAAAATGTTCTTTCAAGAATTAGCCAATGAAATAGCAGATGATTAGTATGATTTTGGGATTTTGGCCCAATTGTCGGCTCATGGCCCCGACAAAAATAGTATCTATAAAAGTATTTTTTTTAAAAAACAAATAGCAGATTGGCAGCTACGATTTGCTTGCTCCCATGATTTGCAGTTGAATAATTTTTATTTTTAACTTTCCCAAAAAAGTGAATACGAAATTTGTTACTTTTGACTACGAAATCTGACATTTTTTACTATGAAATCGTACAATTATACTATATTATATATAAAAGTTATCTAAAAACTTTAGATTATCAAGCTATGAAATCATAGTCAAAGCTATGAATTCAAAGTGACAATACTTACCACAATTTGTAGTTGGATTTTTTTTGGTCGGGATTATTGTTTATAAGAGTAGAATTCATAGAAAACCAATGACATTATCGTCATTTTCTCATTTGATTAAGAGTATTATTAAGTATTATTGTTTACAGGAGTAGAATTCATAGAGAACCAATGCCATTATTATCATTTTCTCATTGTATTATTAAGTATGAAGATAATGTCAATTAATGGTTATAGTAATGATAAGTTTAGAAAGTTATGCAAATTTAAGTTACTGGATAAATATTACAAATATAAAAAACCTCGAAATATACAAAATCCAAAACCTAATAAAAATAGGTAATTATTTCTCCTTATTACCTATAACAAATGACACAAGGGACATTATACAAACGACTCATTCATTCTTATATTGTTCTATTGAATACAATATATATTTCTGTAATTAATTTATCCGCTTAGTAATTAAAGAATAACAATTTTTTTTAACTTTATTTCATATTTAGTAAGATGGAATGAATGGAACAATGACGAATAGAATAACAAAAAGTTTTAAACTAAATTAACTCATTCACTGATAACGGTGCTAAAAACTTGATGTATATATCCGTGAGGTGGTGGCACGACATGGGGTCCTAGTCTCACTAGTTTTTTATTAGGATGTTCGGTTCACTTCCAGATTCTGAAAGAGAATTTATGAGGAGTTGGGTATGCGACTGCACTTCAGTACGACTTTTCATCTGCAAACCGATGGTCAAAGTGAGTGGACTATCCAGACCTTGGAGGATATGTTACGGGAATGTGTACTGGATTTTGGTGGTAGTTGCAATACGTATCTCCCATTGGCTAAGTTTACTTACAACAACAACTACCACGCTAGTATTGATCGACCTCCTTTTGAGATGTTCTACAAGAGGAAGTGTCGGGCCCCGATATGCTAGGGCGAGGTTGGTCAACGAGTCATGGGTAGCACAGAGGTGGTGTTCCGGACTACCGAGTTGATCCAGTAGGTGCGCGGGAGGTTGCAGGCCACACAGAGCTGGTAGAAGAGTTATGCTGATAGGCGCAGATCGGATTTGGAGTTTCAGGTCAGGGACATGGTACTCTTGAAGGTGTCACCTTGTAAAGGTGTCATTCGGTTTAGGAAGTAGGGCAAGCTGGGTCCCAGATATATTGGTCCTTTCAGGATTATTGTCCGGGTGAGCAGGGTAGCATATCGTTTGAAGCTGCCCGAGGAGCTCAGTCAGATTCACGGCACTTTCCACGTCTCTCAACTGCGGAAGTGTTTAGTTAATGATTCTGCAGTGGTGCCAATAAAGGATATTCAGGTGGACGAGCATCTGAACTACATAGAGAGACCAATTGCGATCCTCGATAGGAAGACGAAGACTCTGCCAAGGAAGGATGTGAGTTTAGTGAAGGTGTAGTGGCAACACCGGAAGGGCTCTGAGTGGACATGTGAGCCTGAGGACGAGATGTGGGAGCATTACCCTGAGTTATTTGTTGCAGTGGGCTTCAAGGACAAAGTCTGATTCAAGTGGGGGTGAATTGTAACACTCGTGTTCCAGGTATTTTCATTTATGACTTCAATTATAAAATTGTTGCATTTTGGTCCAATATGTAGGGCGTAGATTGCAGCTACGCAGGGTGTAGTTAAGGAAATGGGACGCGGACATCCTATGTCGTACGTTGGGTGTACCATGCGTACGCAGGGCGTAATTCCGCTGATCTCAAACCCTAAATTTTAGGGTTAAGATCCCATTTAAAGGCCTTATAACCCTTGGGGTCTCCGTTTTCACTAGCCCCCACTCTCCCAAAGCACCATTTCGAAACCCTAGCCACCTTGTGAGGTTCTTGAGCTCTTAGAGTGATTCTTAGTGTGTTTTGGTGCATATTTAAGAATAATGAGTCCATTGGAGAGGTGTTGGGGAGCTTGGAGCTTGTGGATCCAGACTTGGTTTTTCATCTAGCATCTTTTGGAGGTATAAAGCTCTAAACTTTATGGCTCCTTAGTTTAGATCTAGATTTGGGTTATGTTTTGGCATGTTTTGGTCGCATGGCTTTGGATCTTGTGAGTATAAGCTACTCCAGAACCCTTGAGCATCATTTCTAGCCAATTTTGAGGTTATTAAGTCATAAAAATCGGATCTTGAGGTTTATAGTCCACCCATGCATGAATTGTTGGCCATTTTGTGAAGTTATGAACCTAGGGTTTGGTTTTGGACCTTATTAAGTCATGCAAAAGCTTAAAGTTGACAACTTTATCGGTTAATACCTTCCCAAGATTAAGATTTATGATTTGGACGTATGGTGTTTAAGCATTAAGAGCTTGAATGTGATTTTTGGGTAGGAGTGGAGTAAGTCGGGCGTACCCACCAGGTACGCATGACGTAAAGAGTTTTATCTCGAATCCCTTTTTCTGTTGTAGTCCAGTACACATGGTGTAATGGGGGTATGCATGGCGTACTCCTAGAAGCCCATTTGGGTCATTTTTGGGCCTTGGGTAATTATGGGTTTTGGGCCATGATTAGTTGGGTCGAGTATGAGAAGGGTAAAATGGTCTTTTACCCTTAGTAAGATAGAATATGATTTAGACCATTGATTATGGGTTATTACCCTGATTATTAATTAGGGTTGATTTTGGATATGTTCAGTGTGAGGATTTGTGATAGTAGCAACTCGAATGTATGATTTGTTTATCATCAGATTGATGTGAGTCTCTTCACTATACTTGTGGATCAAAGACACCAATATCGCCCCAATGGATTATGTAGTAGGGTGATAGTTGTCTTTGTGACACTTACTAACATACATGTATGTGTTTTCACTTTTTTTGTCTTCGTGACTCTTTCTAATATGAATGTATGCTTAGATGTAGGGGTAAAATAGACTCGTGCCAGTTGAAAGATATCGAGGGATTCGGAATGGACTTAGAGAGCCGGAAGGGACTCAGAGAGTCGGAAGGGACTCAGGGAGTCGTAAGGGACTCAAGGGTGAAATAGAATCGTTACAGTTTTAGGCTGATATATATATGAATGATGTGTATGTATGGTATGTGGTATTTTGGGGAACTCAATAAGCTTTGTGTTTATGGTTTATGTTTAAATGTTTTTTTAGGTACTTCCGGTTCGAAAGGGAAGAGCCCGATATGATCGCATTGCATGCACTAGTGTTTAGCATTTT